ACATTACTCTTCCTGCTTTGCGGTTTTGATTGTTTTCTAAAATAAGATGTAGATTTTATGATGTTTTTTTCTTCCTTTTTTGTGTTTACTTAATCTCATGTGTTGCGGTTTGGGATAATAATTGGTTTCAGCTAATTACAGTTATATGATTGAAATGATTTTAAACATACCATTATATTAAGTACCATTTTGTCACCTTTGATGTAATACATTAACACTCATTTTTTTTTCTTTAATGTTGTGGTTTTTCTGTCCATTATTTAGATCGTTCTATAGAATGACGTTACAGTTAGCTTTAAATTTAGCGGAATAAAAACAGAGCTTTTCAGATCTTGTTAGCTTGTCAGTCAAGCAACATTTTAATCGATATTTTTTTTTTTTTCATTATCTAAAGAGTGACTCAAAGAATACAACTTAAAAAAATATTTTCGATTTCTTAGCCTTTTTTACTATTCCTTTAAACTATTCTTTTTTTTAGTAATAGGATTTCGAAAGCTTTATTAGTTTAATTCAGTAAAATACTAAGTAAATAAAATAGTTAGCTAGTTTTTTCTTTGATGTTTCATCCTGAAGAAAATTGTGAGAAAAGAATATGTTGAATCCCTTTTCTCATTTCCAATGAAGAAATTGGTAAAAGTAAAATACGTACTTTAAAGATATAACTTAAATATCGTCTATCTGCACTAATACATTGGCATATTCGAGGTCATCCGCCTGAACTATTAAGATTGAGTCCTGGAACACGAAGATCCAATTATTAGATCAAAAGTTATTCAGGGTGGTCCGTTTTTTATTTTACGTACTGTATATAAAATACTGTTGTGTCCGATAATTTAATGCCTTAGTAATATTAAACGTCTATCGCATTTTAGTAAAAAGAAAAACATTAAAAATTTAAAATCATTAACTCCATAACTACGTCACTTTTTGAATCACGTGTTCGAAATGCATTCTTTTCTCATTATGAAACTTAATAAATGGACGAATATCAGGAAATTTTAAATATTCTCCATCAAAATGCCTAGAAAGTATAAAATTTGAAATACAGAAAATATGCAAGTAAATGTTTCTTGTACTTCCATTCTCATTAAAGAACAGGTTTAAGAGTTTCAGCAATTAAATATACCTATGAATTTCTGTAGTATTTACTCCAAAGTAGCAGTTAAAGATTTAAAAAAAAAGAAAAAGAAGCTTTAACACTCTTTTTGAGTCTCTTTCGTCTCATGAATAATATGCTATTTTACTATCGTTCTCTTTACTTAACAGTTATTCAAAATTGTTCAAATTTTGTCACCCTATAAAGAGCGTTTCTTCTACTAGACCTGAAAATTTAAATGTTCAGTTAGTAGCCAGTGGCGGGTAGACTTTAACTTAGTAGCAGCCACATTTCCCCCTTCGCCTTCCATGGCTGATTGATGCGAATTCCGCACCCGGCTCTCACCGACCACAGTGCTGACCTGAAATATCCTCAGTGGTAGACGGATCATGGGTTAGAGTCCCCTATTGCCCTCAGGCTAACCATGGGAGGTTTTCGTGGTTTTCCTCCAAATGTAACGCAAATGAGGGTTAGTTCCATCAAAATGTCCTCCACTAAGGCAAATTTCTCCCGATACTTGATCCAGGAATTCTCCTGTCTTCTGGATTGGGCTCAAAATTACAAGGCTACGGAGGTAAACATTAGTTGTCGTAAACCCAACAAATTGGGTTGACTGTTCAACGACGGTTATAAAATAAAATAAAAACCTTTTGAGTTTGTATCTGATATCGATAGATTCTTTTCATTTATTAGCCACTTTTCTTATACTTTATTTATTTATTTTTTTTGATTAATTTATATATATTTAAAAAAAAATCATATTAGAAATAATCTACGACTATAAAGAAATTTATTTTACAATAAAAATGACATAAAAATATGACAAAATTTAATTAAACATACTGATTTTAAGGAAATCTGTTTAAAAATATTTGGGGAAGTGAAATACATTTACATGTATGCAAGACAACTTTGAAATAAGTGAATTCTTAAAAAAAAAAAAAAAAAAAAAAAAAAAAAAAAACTTTTTTACCACACGAATTTTTTCAACACAATTCTAAAGCATCAAAATTTTGATCTAAAGGAATTCTAAAAGTATCTAAAGGATTCTAAAGGATCAAAATTTTGATCTAAAGGAATTCTAAANAAAAAAAAGAAAGAAAAAACTCTTTTACCACACGAATTTTTTCAACACAAATCTAAAGCATCAAAATTTTGATCTAAAGGAATTCTAAAAGGATCTAAAGGATTCTAAAGGATCAAAATTTTGAATGGAGTCATTGGATATCTTAATGAAAATTTTGTTTTCCAGAGTCTTTCTGCATTGATCATTAAACTAGTTGATCGTTAACTATCATTAAACTATTCTCAAAACAAATAAACGAATAATAAATAAATAAGTAATAAATAGAAATGAATAAATAAGAGCACTGTGGGAAAAAGGGACCAATTGTTTATTTAATTCTAGTCGACACTTTCTTTTGTTAACTCGCCACTCGGCGAGGGGTTATTTTCAGGTCTTCCTTATACTGATGAAAATAATATCATGAAATGTCAATATAAAGAGAATCCAGTTTTATTACCTCGCTTTTATTTTATTTTAAGAAAAAGGGGGGGTTGGAGGAGATAGAGGTCGCATCAGGTCTACATTTTTAATGTTGAAAAGTCATTAAATTATTACATTGCTTTGTCTCATAAAATCATACAAAGGGAAAAATTATTGTTTTTAATAATTTTCATTTAATATAAAAAAATTTCAAAATTAATTTTAAATATTTATTGTTTTAAAGCCAAGTCAACTAATGCTAAATAATATTCTATAATATTCTATAGCTATTTCATGCTAAATAATATTCTTTATGTTCCACTGCACTCATAATGACAATTTTCTTCTCTAAACATGATAATAAAAGATACTGAAAAATTTGCCGATACTATTATTCATGTTATTTGGGTATTATCGCGTAATAAAAATTTCAATATTCATATTTCAATATTTCGAACCAAATATTATATTCATTTTGCTGAATTTACCGTAACAGTATAAAAGACTTAGAAAAAAAGATAAGATTTCATTTAAGCTACACTATCCTTGTTTCCATAATAATAAAAAAACTTTATTAAAACAAAGTTATTTTGTTTATTATCCACATTATTTGAATCTTACCTAATAATAATTTAAAAATAACAGAAATCTGAAAANTTTTTTTTTTTTTGAAAAGATACATGAGTATAAAATTAGAACTTCACTTTGAATTTAAGGTATGCAAACTTAGATTTTTATTAATTTCCTTGGCCGAAAAAAATTTTAAAAAACAGTCCTAAGAGTCCAACTTTAGAAGATACAGGCACTATGTTAAAAAACAAAGCAAAAACAATAAATATTACTTAAAGAATATTATTTCATGCTAAATAAATTTATGTTCCACTGCACTCATAATGACAATTTTCTTCTCCAAACACAATAAAAGATACTAAAAAATTTGCCGATACTATTATTCATGTTATTTGGGTATTATCGCGTAATAAAAATTTCAATATTCATATTTCAATATTTCGAACCAAATATTATATTCATTTTGCTGAATTTACCGTAACAGTATAAAAGACTTAGAAAAAAAGATAAGATTTCATTTAAGCTACACTATCCTTGTTTCCATAATAATAAAAAAACTTTATTAAAACAAAGTTATTTTGTTTATTATCCACATTATTTGAATCTTACCTAATAATAATTTAAAAATAACAGAAATCTGAAAACATTACACTGTACTCGCACTATTTATTATACTATATTTTATTTGCTCAACTACTTAAAATTTTTTCTATCTTACTAGAATAATCATTTTAACATGTTTAGAATATAACGCTTAAATAATCAGTAGTTATTGTACAAGTTACTTCAAGAAATAAAGAATAATCCGAGCCTGAATGAAAAATATCGTATTATTTTTCTGATTAAATATTATATTTCTTCTCACGATGTCTTAGTTGCATCAGCTAAAGAACCTAATAATATTGTATGAGTCCCGCAGCTTTTTTTACTATTTTACTTTCTTTCTAAAATGTATTAAGATGGCGCTAAAAATAATCATAGTTATCATTTAAACTGTTAAAGAATTAGTCAGTAATTTAGAATTGATATAAATCTAAATATAATTCTAATTTTTTTTCAGGTTGAATAATATTTTTATTTTACTTTCTTTATAAGACTATAATGACGCTAGATATATGCCATAGATGTTATTCAAACAGCTTAAGGAACATTCAGTAATTTATAACTGATTCAAGTATAAATATTCCACATTATTTTTCTGAATGAATACTATCTTTATACTATACAACTTTCCCAGCATTAAAATAACGCTAAAATGTGCCATAGATGTTATTCAAACTGCTTAAGTATCATTCTGCAACTTATAAATGATTCAAATCTGAATGTTCCACATTATTTTTCTGAATGAATATTATCTGTATATTTTACTTTTATTCCAGTATTAAAATGATACTAAAATACACCCTATATGTTATTCAAACTGCTTCAGAACTATTCATTATTTACAGCTAATTTAAGTCTAAATAGTCCCCATATAGTTTATAGTTATAATAGTTTTTTCCGAATAAAAATAAACTTTATATCTTACTTTCTGTCCAGTATTAAAGTGATGCTAAACATACAACACGTATATTATTTAAGCTGCTTAAAAATTCAACAATCAAAAACTGAATATACCGCATTATTTTTTGTATGACATTTATCTTTATTTAAAAAAGAAAGAAAAAAAATTTTTCTCATTCCTTAGATGAAAATTCCCTATGGAATTAAAAAAAAAAAAAGAAGAAGAAAAAACTGGAATTCTGACGTTTTATGCTGCATCAAAATCGTTCTATTTTGCATCCGCTACTGCCTAGCTGACTTCTGGCCACTAAAAAATGACCTTGAATCGAAAACTTCCTCCATATAACGGAGATAATAATACAAGTATAGACGAGGTCCGAATTACGCCAGACGTTCTTTCTCCACACACACATGCATCCATTCATCTGGGCACACTGCAGTACTACATCTACCTCAAGACGGCGAGATTTTCTTTTCATTTATTTATTTTTTATACCTCCCAATCTCCATCCAAACCCTCTTTCCGGGTCGAAAGAGTTGAAATAATGCTCCCACGGTTGGAGTAGCCAGCATCTTAGAGTCAGGGGGGAGGGGGGAGAGAAAACTCATAAAACCTTATAGAAGAAAGTGACTTGGAAATTATTTTGAATAAATCGTTTGCAGATTTCGAACACTAAATTTGAGATGCGTTTCTCTGGAGGAATTGGGTCATATCTCCTTCGAAATCTGGTATTGTCACGTGTTTAACCTTCACCGCGATGAGTGGGGAACGAACATTCCTTCCCCCAATTTTATTTACAGGAGGGTGAAGTTAAGTTTTGAAAACTTTAATGGAATGTGTTGGTAACAGATTTTGGCAGATGTTTTAAATTGGAACATGTGTTTGAAGGACTGCCGTTTTAAGAAAGGTGTTTTCTATTAAATTTTAAAGAATTGGATGTGGAAAGGGGTGTTATGCATCAACGGGTGAGTACGTATAGTGGATTTTTTTCTTTTTTTTCTTTTGCAAAAAGTTGTGTAGATCACTTTCTTCGTTCATATCTAGTCCAAGTTCAAAAATTTCAAGTTGAGTGCCTTATTTGTTGATTGATTCGTGGGACGTTTTCAGATCTGAATTTAGTATTTCAATAAAACGAGGAATGTAATGATTTTGTTTTTAAATTAGAATATTGTTAGGACCAAATTAAACTCGTAGTCTTCATGTAATTCAAGGATATTTCGCAATTTTTAATTTCGGTTTTTTTTCTTGAAGTATAATTACTTTAATAATATATTTATTTACACTTAAAGATTTAGGATTCCGTCTGGTAATTATCATAGTGATCAAACTATTCATATTTAAAATTAAAATCATAAATCTTAAAAATCTAAATAATTTGAAAAAAATTATGCTTTTAGGTTTTATTCTACAAAAATGTTTGATGAATGTATAAAACAAACTAAAATTCAAAGATGTATTTTATTTTGCAATAAAAAATAGATAAATATTTTCTTTTCTAAGAACAAAGAAATTTTTAAATTCTTCATTTAAGTGTTTTTATTCTTTATTTAATTGTTAATGATGATCTTTAAATACTTTAATTGTTAATTGCGATACGAAGTCAAATTCTCAAGTTTAATGTATTTTATTACAAAATACTGTTGCTAGAGTTCGATTAAAATAGAAAAAAAATCTATTAAAATAAAAACATTCGATTAAAATAAAAATGAAATACATTTTATTGAAATAAATAAATAAATTCCAATAAAATAAAAAAATATAAATTATCTTGAAATAAAAAATAAAATTAATTCTATTAACGTAAAAAAATTAATTCGATTAAAATAGAAAAAAAACCATTTAAATAAAAAAGATACATCTTATTAAAATCAATATAGTAATCTTAAAATAAGATTTATCTTTATATTGAAAATAATATTTATCTTTATGTTAATTGTTTGGTATCTTTTATTAGTCTTTCACTATACAGTAAACAATTTAAGTAGACGTGTAAAATAAAATGTTAAATCAAGCATGAATTGCTCTCTCAGGGAGTTAAGTTTTTGAAAACTTTTCACGATTTTAGATTATTTCTTTTTTTTCATTTAGACTTCCTTTATTTTCTTACAATTATTTACTACTATTTTTGAAATTTCTCCGATTAATTTTTTCATTAATCTCAGGTTCATCAATATTAATATAAATGAACACCAATATTTAAGGTACATCAACAAAATTTTCATGTTTAATAATTATGATATAATTATAAGTCTAGTTTTTCATATATAATTGGAAGATTAAAAGGTAAGATATTGCAGTTTTTAGCCACTTCTTTAATTTTTAGATAATTAATGCAATTATATAATATACCTGCAAAATGATTTTTTTCAAGCTTTTCCTTAATTAATTACCATTTTGTTAGAAGAATTTATATGTGTATAATGTTTAGCAATAATATCGTTTTAATTATGTGACATCTAATATTTTGAGGACGTTCTCTAAATTTCAATTCTCTAAACTTTAATTTGATGAAACAAAATTCAAATCAAATTTTTTTTTAAAAATGTATATATTATTCTAAAAAAGTTGCAATTAATTCTAGAAAAACTAAAGAATCCCAATTACAATAAAAGTGGATAATTCTTTTCTCTGTTAAAATAGGAAATAGATATTCAGGTTAAGATTTTTTTTACAAAAATAGAAAATGGGCAGATATTTTTGCATGTTTACATCTATTATATTGTTTTTAATATACACTCAAATCACAATAAACAATCACAAGTGAGAATTCACTATTTTAACATTCTCTTACCATGAATATACGTTTTTGGAAGAAAAAACTATTTTATAGGTGCTTAAAATAAATCAGGGGCTAAACTGTATTATGCAATTCGTGCATATGAAAAATGAAGCAATGCTTTTTCATTAGATATATAAATTTTACTATCTGAAGTAGTTAAACAGCATTAACTAGAAAAAAGAGTTTTAAAGTGAGACTGCAATATGAATCTTGACGAATGGAAATAGTATTTTTACAAAGTAGTAAACAAAATATTAACCCCACCCTCCTTCATTCACAAAAATAATTTACATCTATTTCCTTTTTTTTCTTTTTAATTATGCTCCAAAATAAAATATTTGAGGATGTTACTTCTCTTTTAGTTACTTTTTATAACAATTTATAATAATATAATTTTTAATTACACCAATACGAGATAAATAGCGATTTAGAATTACTTTAATTTACCTGAAATCGCCTGTAATTTGTGCATTTTTTAGTTAGAATTTTAAAACCTAAATGTAAGAATTAGTATTATAATTCTTGTTCAAAAAAGTTTTACATAATATATAAGGATATCGGTTTTAACTAATAAAATTGTTTTTTTTTATATATATATATATATTTCTTGTAAAGTGATTTCAGTGAAATTTTGTAAGCCTGTGCCAGATAAACTATCATTTTGTCTAGCAATTGTTACAAGATTCACCAGTCTTTAAAGAATCGTTTACTATAAAATTACAAATCTCAATGATCGCCATACATGATATTTTATAATATAAGGTATTAATTGATTTTGAATTTTTATGTACTATATTATCTAGTAAGAATTGTCAAGTTATACAATTTTTCAAAAAAATAACAGAAATAATATTTAATTATTATCAATTTAATAATATAAAAATATCAATTTATTATGACAATTAAAGTGAAAAATGTTTCATTTTCGTTTATTAAACGTAAATAAACATTGATTATGTAACATTAGTTATTAAGTTTAAATAAAATATTTTTGCAATTTTTTAATTTATGTACGCAAATGAAAAGAACTTTAATCCCGTAAACCACCATGTAAAACTTAACTTGCAATAATACTCCACTTTATCTGATTTAATCTACTTAGAAAGCTTAAAGCTTTTTATCTCAAATTATGTTATATGTTTATCATGTATTGTCTAATTCTCTTTAGTTTTATCCTAAATAAATTCTTCTCCTATCATACTGCTAGTTTTTTTTTTAAGACTATAATAATTTTTGTTCCAAATTATGATTTTTTGTGTTTAATTATATGAATAATTTTTGTCTTAAGTTATCAGATTATATAAAATTATCGTTTCATATTATACGAGGCAAAAGTAAAAATCTCCTAAGTAAAACGTCAGTGTGAATATTCAATAAAAATATATATTTACTATGTGTTAGAATAAAATTTTAGTCGATTTTAAGGTGATAAGCTTGGTTTTTCATATTTTTAAGGTGATAAGTTACCTCACCCAAGCTGTGACTATGTACCTCAGAAAACAGTATTTTTAAAAATTTCATTGCCTTTTAGAATAAAGTTTCAAGCACCACATAAAAAGAGAATAGTGAAGATAAATACAATCTTTTATGATATATCCAGAACGTTGCGGTTTAAAAGATACATACATGTGCAAACAAAACGGGACGCAAAGTCATCTCGTTTTAGAATGTTAGAATGAAACAATTTAAAACAAGATATTTATTGTTTAAATTTAGCTTACGAAATGAACAGATTAGTTTTCATGAAATTTAAGGCATTTATGTTTTGCTTCAAAATATAAGATTAAAAGTTTTTTTTATTCTTGTTTTGTGATGAATTTTTTCCTCATCTTAATCACTCAGTCACGTGTTATGGAGGTTATAAAAGTCATAAATATTTTTAAAAAATGGTTAAAAATTTAGCACTAAATGCATTACTTATGTTTAGTTAAGATTATATTTAGGATGCATTATATCGTTTTTTTTATAACGTTTGTAGTTTTAAAGACATTTTTCGTGCAGGATGTCACCACTTTGTACAAAAAATATTTAAAAAATATATATGCATTAAAAACTACAATAATAAAAAGCATCCTGTTAATTTTTAAATGAATCGGATGAAAATTTAAATTTATGTAGTTCGTAATTAGCAAATGAAATAGACAACATTTCGAAGAAAAGAACATTTTATTCTGGAGTTCATTTCTAATTACTATAGCCCGGATTTTAATGACCTAAAAAATCTCAACTAATGCCCTTAAAAAGTGCAAAAAATGCCCTTAAAAATGCAAAAATTGCACAAAAATACCTTAAATAAAGCAAAAATATTGAATTAAAAAAATATTTTGGCCTTTAAAATTATTATGAGTCATTTAAAAAATATAAAGCAATGCAATACTTGTTCTACGTTCATTAAAGTTTGAAAAATATGTTTTATATCCTAAAAAACAAAAAAAGTAAAATATATTGACACCAAACAAAATATTTTTATTTTGTATAGAAACTTTAATGGATATAACAACCTCCATCTCATAATATTTCTAAATATCAGAATTACATTGGATTATTAAATGTTTTTTGATGACTTGAAATGTAAACGAGCGTCTCTTGTCTGAAAGTAAATTTTCATTCCTGCAGAAGCTTCTTTCAACGTCTACTGATGTTATAGGTGTGTACTTGAAAAAGACGGTCTCACTTACTTACAATTCTTCTTCAATTTGAAAAGATTTTGCTTCACCTGTTAATATTCCATAGATTTTCTTCATTGTTTGGAAGCCAGTGTAATAATGAAAATTGATAAAAAAACAGTAAAAATTGGAAAAAATTAACAAAAAACTTTAAAAAATGCATTAAAATGCAAAATTCGCCCCAAAATTTAAAGAAAAATGCCCTATAAATCTAAAAAAATGCTCTAAAAGACAAAAAATGTTCAAAAATTCAAAAAATGCAAAAAAATGCAAATGTCATCAAAATCCGGGCCTTACTAATTACGTTATTTGGGTTTGGCACTTCTCTAAGACTGCGCCCGGGGGCAGATATCCCCCTCTAACTACGCCATTGTAAGCATGGGTTAAGAAGATTGAAATGTCATTATTTTTTGAATATAAACACAGTGACTAAGAAACGCCTTATTTCATTATGTTACATCACCCGTGTGTTTATAGAAAAGAAGGCAAAATTATTCATTGACCTTGACTCTAGTATTTC